AATGCAGTCGGAATGTGCGTCATAAAAATGATTAAAAAAATCATGCGGACGCAAGCTGCGCTTATTAAGGGCCTTTCACACGGACATAACGATAATACTACTAGCATCATGACATTAATTATGGTATAAACCAACTTAAATCTTTCTACGTCATCCTGTTTAGTAGATGTCACTCAAGACTTCGTTCGCGCGGAATAAAAAAAAATAATTAGGTGCCTGTGTTCTTACAGACTATGTTCTACATCTATGCCAAATTTCAGTGCAATATGTTTTGTTGTACTAGAGATACGCAACAATATAAACCTTCACATTTATATCATTAATAAGTTTTTATAAATAAATATCACCTTCATGTTTATAATACTTGGCTATTGTGCTTTGATTTTTTTTATATCTTTAGATGGCAAATAAGCAAGCGGCCACCTGATTTCATCATAATAGCCCATAGACTTTTAGATGTATTGCCTATGAACTTCTGTTAACAATGGTACAGAAAGAGGATATCCCCCCCTTAAAGCTGAATACTTGAAGCTAAAGATTTAAATACTAGTTTAGAGTAGTCAATGAAAGTGTTCATCACTTTCCATTAAACATGTAAACTTAGAACCACTATTTGTTACAACTATCAAACTAAACAAGAGACTATACTAGCCAGACATTGTTTTGAGAGTATGATTTGCTTAGTAACATCCCATTTAATCATATATTAATATGTTAAATATCTTTGAATTGAAGCACTTAGTTGCTTGAAGCAGTCTTTATATTGGAGTTTACATAAAACATAAGTTTAATTTCTTTTTGATTTGATTAAATAAACTTTGGCTACTGAGATCAAAACCTCTTTATAAAAACATTGTCATCCTTGTCCTTTCATATAACAAAATAGAGATAACAATATGTTTTATTAATCTCCATCCACCTCAATAGGACCCATGGTAAGTGCAACATTAGTTTGGTAATTTTTTTATTGCCAACTGTTCAAAAATCTTTTTATAGATAAGACAAAACTCCACTGCACATTCATCCTTGGAATTGTAAATAGCTGTGACTTGTTATACCGGAATAAATTTCAAAGATATTGAAATTCAAATTTCGGCTGCATCCGGTGGGAATAATTTCAATATGTATCTGAATCCTCGACATCCACATTGGTATTTATTATGTACATATTACCAAGTAGAACACATACAAAAAAGTATTTGATACACATTATAAAAATGCACCATTATATAATATAAAAGCAATGTATTTATATGACTAGAAATATATCATAATCATCAGCTCACTATACATCCCTACTGAAGAGCTTGGAATCTGCTCTTTTTTTTCCAGAGAGGAATGCTTTATGCATACTTCGCGCCGCTGGGGGGACACGGTAGTTATGTGGGATTCTCCTCCATAGCGGAGGCATACCCACTAAACTTCTCTGTTCCTCCAATGCATCGGGACAGGACCACGGCCATGCTTTCGCTCTCATCTGCGGCGGAACCTGCTCTAAGTTAAGGAGTGCTTAGGTCAGCCATGCTGGCCCAGTGTGAGTTGACTACACATATCTTTCGAATTTCTTCTTAGATTTTACAGGTTGCATCACAATGTTTTCCTTTACCATAAACAGTCGGATAAATGTACCTATATATGTAAATCAGATATCAGAAAAACACCTTGGTACATTGTAATATATCACACCTTTTCTCAGGTATATCTCATTTAAATTTACAATAGAATGTTATTGTCTAGATCTGCTATGAGTCCACTTGAGGATGTATTTTTAGTTGCTTTAGTTTATAACACAGGTTTTCTCTCTTTTGTGGCTTCTAGAAAACGAAACTAGTTTAAAACTAAGATAAAACTTGAAATAAGAATTTGTTCCATTGTTTAAAACTGCAGCCAAGTTCAAGTAAAAATAAAATTGCTTTATTAATTTAGACTATATGTAAGGGATTATATTATATGTAATCCAATAAAAATAATTATGTTATATGTACATATATTAACTATTCTAATTAGTTCTAACATAACACATATGTGATACAAAATATGCAAATCAGTTAGTTATATAAAAACTTAAGATACTACTTTCAAAATAAAACAATCGTAAATTTATGCAAATTAATGTAAATAAACAAACGATTCTAAATGAAGACGTAATCTCGTATCAACGTTAAACCAGCGTGATAACGAAAGTTGACGTTGTTTTAGATTAAACATGGTATAAACATTGAAAAAACATTTGTTTATTTAGTTTTTAAAAGTTACAAATAAATAGTTTTCTAGAAATTAGAATTATACAACCGTTATAACATAAAATAAATGAGGAAATGCTTCCGTTCGCACTGATGCTAAAATCTGTCGCTGTTTCTAACAAAAAAAAACAAGATATCATGTAAAGATATTTAATTTACCATAACTTACGGCTCCAATAAATGTTGTATTAATATGTGTGATTGGAATACAACATTTGTTTTTAACACTTACCTAGAATTGGATAACACAACGCGATACACCCAAAATAAATGGCAAGTGCCGCGGGATACTTCCTGAGCGCACGGACCATTGTCATGGCGGAAGAAACTGCTTTTTATACACAACGCACAACCGTTACTACAAATACATCACATAATTATTACACCATCTTCTATTCACTTAGGCAGCGGTATCACTGATTATTTCTATAATTAAACACACAAAAAAATTACTAAGCGACTGACACCCACCAAAAGCCGAACAAACAATCCCACTTTCTAGTGTTATCAGTTTCTGCCACAAAACACCAAATTAATTCATGTTTTTGGTTTGGTAGTTTTCGCATGCTTATTCTGTGGTAGTTATTTTATATTTTTGTTGAGGCATCATTTTTCAATAACTTGGATTTTAGAGTTAAACAGTTATTTCCTTTTTATAGTACATTTCAAAAGTAACATTTTACATGCGAAACAACATTTGTTTCTCACTAAATGTTATAGAGCCTGCGGAGAATATTTAATATTTACAAATTTTTCTTTTGCGCTTGTTAATAAAGTTAAACTGAAGCCTTAATACTAGTTTCGTGCGAAACCGAAAATTTGTGCAAATGTTTTCAGGGTATATGTAATTCAGGTGAGATGTAAATGATGGTAAATTTGTACATGAAACATTGCTGCGTAAAGATATAATTGTTTCAATTGCTTACATATATTAAAATTTGTAATTTATTGTTACAAACTTTAACAACATTTTTTTAATAATAATTTACTTGAATTAAATTTAAAGATTTTATATAAAAACTTACCGTTTTTAAGCAGTTACAGAGTATCATTTACTGTAGCTGGCAACATTTGTTGTTTATTGACAAGACGAATGACAGACGGCGGGGTACAGCTCGATTGCAGCTTGATTAAGACAATTTAGAGGAAATAAATGACTCGTTGACAAAATTATATCCGCCTATACAAGTAAATGAAATGAAAATGTGGCTTATAAATATTGTTTAAGTTATATTTGCGAGTGTACAACGAGTGCATCGTGGTATAAAAATGTATTTTCAGTGCATCGTAGGAGCCATTTTTACAGTATTTATTTTGTGCGTTCATTGTGATAATGCAGTTAATTACAACGAAAGTATGAAGATTTATGGTATGTATCATAATAATAACATATATAAACTTATTCTATGTTAAGTCATTGTTTCAAAATGCGTTACGCCTATCTCATTTCGCATCTGTCAGTCTTGGTCATCCATGAATTATTGTATCAAATTGTTACGAATTAGCCTCTAAAACTTAAAATGAACAGTCCAACACACAATTAATGCTTTATTACCCGAGTAGGAACTTTGCTTTTGTCTATAAAAATCAATTTTTCGCTACTCCACCTATTCGTTTTTAGCTTGATGAATAGGGTGTTGTTGCAATTATAAATAATCATCTTCAGAAAATTAACCCAATGAAGTACTTTCCAATAAGTTTTTAATATAATAAAATAATAAGTGCTTTAAGGCAAATTAATTCTTTCCCATAAAATCTTTTCTGAATATGATTTTCATAAGTAGGCAACATAGTATATTCATCTTATATTCTTTACTATTTTCTTAAAAGGGATGTGCTATATATTCTCGGTGTTATGGTGTTATATACAATTGATATACTATGTCAGGAGTCATCAATAAATCTGGGATAACTTTGTTTAGATAAATATAAAATATTTTTAGAGAGTACTGGAAATCTTTCCCTTACCAATACTACTATAATATTTTGAAAAATAGATTTTCATTCAGAGCTTTATTCCTATTTTACTTAATATAGGCATACATTGAACACCCCTTGTATTTATGTTATCAAGCATACAGTATGTACTTGACAAAAAAAGGTTCATTGGAAGAGACAAAAAAGGTTCAAAGAATTTTTTATTCTGTTTTAATACATTTTAATTGGGTTTTATGGAATTAGAATTATATAAAACATGAAATGTTAAATACTCTAGTTGTAAAATGTTAATTTGTGGAGTTCATTGTGCTGGTGACACCTTACGCTGTTAAGATGAGGTAGACATGTCAAAGGGGAAGGTCATATTCATTAGTTCTCAACAACTGTAGTACAACATACATCTGTTCATGTTCTAATACAATACCGCACTAAAGATATATTGTCTGTTTTATTTACTTAATTAAAAGAACTAGCTTTGGCCCGCAACTCCGTCCATGCGGAAAAAAGTAGCCTATATGTTCTACATCTGTGCTAAATTTCATCAAGATCTTTCAAGTCATCCCGGAGATACCTTAAAACTAACATCCATCTAAACATTTGCATTTATAATATTTGAGATTAAAAGAATATCTTTGAAGATATATCTTCAACTTTTCTTGCTTTATATCATGTATAATTTTATTATATATTTTTAATTTAACTTTCCAATCTATAAATTATTATCTTTTGTTAAGCTTAGGGTCATTACAATGATTAACATATCATGAAGGATATTTAGCTTTGTTAATTAAATAAAATTTTCTATTATTACAAATAAGAGCGTCGGTGGCTCAGGGGTCAAGCACTTGACTTGCAATCTGCAGGTCCTGGGTTCGAATCCCGCCATGTACCAATGTGTTTTTCGATTTCCGATTTACATGTGTACATTTATCCGACGTTCTTATAGTGAAGGAAAACATTGTGATGCAACCTGCACATATCTGAGAAGATATTCAAAGATATGTGTGAAGTCAACCAATCCGCACTTGGCCAGCGTGGTTGACTATGGCCTAATCACACTTAACTTAAAGTAGGCTCCAAGCCCCTTGGTGGGGACGTATAGTGAGCTGATGATGATGATTATTACAAATGCAAATGTCTGTGTTGATGGATAGATGTTTGTTAGAAGTTATCTCTGGAACAATTGCAACAATCTTGCTCAAATTTGGAATAGATGTAAAACATAGTTTGGTAAAACACATAGGCTACTAATTTAGTTTTCAATTCTATGGATTTATTAATCCATATCCATATTTTGCATACACTATTGTGTATGTTAAACTATCTAAGATTATTTATAGATATTACCGAACTTTAATCCCGGGCAGAGTATTTCGTATGTGTCCTCTCCTGAATAATCCATACAAAAGGTTGTAGTCGAATTTCATCTAAGCCTAGCTATCGCCTGTGACTCCTGTGTTCCCATGGCATTAAAAATACTTAGAATGTAGCCAATGTGTTCTTACAGACTATGTTCTACATCTAGGCTATATTTCAACTAGATCTGTTGGGATATTCCAGAGATACTTACGATCTAACAAACATCCAGACTTATTATTTATAACAAGATGATAAGGTATAAGATATAACAGTGGTAGAGCCCGTTTTAACATCTTCGCACGAATTGGCCCGGCTCGCCCGGTGAAATACTACGACCACACAGAAGGCAGGCGTCAAGTGCGTCCGATGTCAGTCTGATGAGTGTGCGTCCCGGAGGCCTAATTTAGTCCTCTTTCCCTTCCCACTCTTTTTCTTATAAGGAAAGGATGGGAAGTGGAAGTGGACCTTCCGGATGAGAGGATGCATAGAAATGTTTTCTTTCTGTGCATCCTCTCCTCCGTCGATTAAAGGTAGGCAACGCATATGCAATAGCGTATGTCTATGGGCAACGGTCACTTCGCTATTTCAGCGATTTCAGATGGCCGCTCGCTCGTTTGCCACCTTATGATAAAAAAAAAAATAAGAGAAAGAAGTAAGATTAACGTTGCGAATATATAATTATTAAAAGCAATTGTATTATTGCTTCAGCAGCTTTAATCCGTATAATATGTCTAAGTACTGTTACTCTCAATTGAAATAGGTTAATGGTCAATGTCACTTTTCATTCGCGAAGATGCGGGTTCGTTTACGACTCGTACTTTTTTAAATTTAAACATTTATTGAGTCTTAACGTAATATAGTAGGCACTATATTTAATTTCAATGTAATGCCTATATCAAGTAAATAGAGCAACGTCAAATTGTACAAGGCAGCATAAATGGTATTTTTTGTGATAAATGTCACATAATGTTGAGTGATGTTTATTAAAAAGGTATTATCAAGGTCACTACGTATCTCCAGAACGGCTGAACGGATCCCACTGAAATTGGCGTAGATGTAAAACATAGTCAGGAATGACACATAGACTACTATTTTTTTTTTAAATTCTGCCCCGACGCAGTCGCGGGCGACAGGTAATGAGAAATGTTTTAGGAATTTAAGAGTTTTTGGATGTATAAATGTATGTATTTGAATAACATAACAATTTTTTACTACATTTTTAAATATGTGGTGCAATCTGCGGTTGCAAATGTAGAATAAAAGGACATGCAACCGAGCGAAAAAAATGGAGTGCGAATAAAAATCCTATGGTATAGAAAACATAAGCATTGTGTCTATTGATTATCACAATGGGAAGCTAGACGAACAAAAACATACGACATGTACAGATACTTTCGTGTTAATGAATTGTTATGTAATTAATCGCTGATATAACACGTTTTTTTACATTGTTACGAAGTCGCAAGACCGGCGTTTATGAATGAGTGTTACGTATTAAAGCTGACATATCTAGATTCCGACTTGTTTGTACAGTTGAACTGGTATAATCGTGATAAAAGTGGGTTTCCATTGCCTAAACAAATGAACAAAAATATATCTTTGATTTTTACTTTGCTTTGTAAAAACATTTGTGGTACATTCTCAAAATTGTTTCTGGGATTTGAAGTGGAGCGAAATCTGACCTCTAACTGATATTTCCCTTCAAAAATAATCCTATGTTTTTTCTTTTTTTTTTACTTATGCGTAACAGTATAAAACAACATACTGTATTAGGTATATACTAATTATAATTGTAATAAAGTTTAGGATTATCTTTATATATGTTAAGCTATTTTGCGAACTAGTAAAGCAACGGTACAGAACTAGTTGTGTGGGGAAACCTTGATCTTTTCATGGTCAGGGCGATGCATTCGTGCATGGACAGTTAGTTTTTGCAACGCTATTATATCTCGTTCGATAACTTTATTTACTTTAAATTGAAAAACGTGCCATTTCCGGGTATTACTAAGGACGACGAAAAAATTGTCGCCACTTTATATTTTTACGTAACTGTATTTTAAAATTATTTTACAGTTCACATCTTAATGTAATTTTATAAACAAAAGACTTAAAAAATATTGAAATTGTAAAACCACGAAAAATCATCGATTGGTTGTTTTTTTTTAAAGATAACTATATATAAAGTTGATTGATATTTGTGTCCTATTAGCCTCTTGGCATGCTTTATCAAATCCGAAATCTGCGAAGCTTTCTTTTTAATATTCATTAATTGGATATGCATAGTCGCGTGACCGATACTAGTTTAGTGATAGAGTAACATTGAGTCACGCGATTCGATATCAATAGTCTTGTGTTAATATTATATAGAGAGTAATAAATTAAAAGAAGCTTCCTTTTCCTTCCCCTTGATAATTACTTTGACATTGTAGCAAAGTCTTGCGGCCACTGCACTTCCGTTTGAATGATCTCATATAATATATGTATATGATATTTATAGTATATATCATTATCTAATTAAAATGTACATATAGATTGAATTATATATAAATAAATAGCTGTCCCCCACGACTCTGTAAGCGCAGAAATAAAAAACTAGTTAGTAGCCTATGTGTTTTTCTAGTGTTCATCTGTGCAACATTTCATCAAGATCCGTTGATCCGTTACCTTCTAACATACATCTAAATTTTCGCATTTATAATGTTAGTCCTTTTATTTCGTAATATTTCTTACTTTTATAATTATCTGCGTATAAAGTGTGAAATGATGATAACCGCGACTTTGTTACTCTTAATACAAAAGTTTATTTTTAATATACATTTTTTTATAATTCTTAACAAAATTCTAACGGAATTGTAGAGAAATTGAACCTTGGGCGCTCGCAGATTTCTATTGTTGGTCTGAAGTTTGATTGTTATGTTGAATAAATGGAAGTAAATAATTAACTTTTAGAACTTTATTCATGTCGACTGTTTGCATAAAGTATACGGCTTCAAACTATGCTGAAGGAAGATATGAATGTACGGCTGCATGTAATATCTGAATCACCATTTTTACACAATAAAAACTGTGTATTCTTTTCTTTTCAGTTCCGTCCGAACCTCTGAATTTAACAGTTATCAATGTGACCAGCGAAATTATTCACCTCTCATGGACCCCGCCATCCAATTTCAATATCAAATTGCTTACAACCGCTAATGATGCACCCAAACCAGACCCTGACCAAGCCACGGAGAAAGCTAAACATGAAACCCTTGCCGACGAACCAGTTAATGACGTGGAACACGCCACCCTAACCGACGCTTCCACAATCCCAGAGAAATTAGACTATTCTCCATTTCTATACAAAAACGACAAATCTAAATACAACGATGAATATTCATCATCAGATATACTATTTGACAAGTCTTATCGAAGTTTAAGAGAGAGACGATCCCATCGGCATAGAAAGAGACGACAGGACAGCAATTCAACTGACCCGAGGCTACATTTAGAGAAAGTTCCAGAAGACACGCACGAAGAGTTTCAATTACCAATAGAAGTGGTTAAGAAAGCATCAGCCAGTATACCTCATAAAGATTTGACACAGATCGCATACGTTTTGTATTACGAACAAGGAGTACCAAGGTATAATGCCGCGTCTACCGTCGGTGTGCAAACATCTACGAATGTTAAGAGGAATAACGTATTCCCAAGTGATTTGGGAATGGAAAACTATTCGAAGGCGACAAGGAATATCACATTGTTGAATAAATTGGGCGTCCTCACGAAAGTAGTTGGTTTTCGTTTAAGAAACTTAAGTGAGTATTTTATAACAACCTTCTTTGAACAACCTATCTGTTGGTAAGCAAACATGTTTCGATAAATTACGAAACATGTTTGCGAACTACACAAGTAATTAATTTATATACAATTAATCATAAAAATATAATTATCAACGTAATCCACATAAAAAAGAATTGGTCCCTGTTGCCGACGGATACGGAACCTCTTTACACGTTTTTTTATCATAAATGTTATATTATATTTTTTCTTCTTTTTTCTCTATATTTTAAAGTATCAATTGTTAAATATATTGTCTGACAGTGCGTGCTTTTCTCTTTATTTTCATAATTCTATTTTATATTTTCATTTTATCTTTTTATTATATAATATAATATTCCAAAATTCATCCTAATCCAACCGCTCTTTCCATCCTTATATTTTCCGTCGTCTTTAGTCCCTATCTAGCACGATTGAATCAATATTAAAATAACAAAAGAGAAAATTAAGTAATATAAGCAAAGATAAGATAGCAAGATAATAATTTAATTAATAGAAAATTAATCAATAATAGATAAGATAATAAAGTATTGTGAGATTTATTCTTTAGTTTGCGACATTAGATGACAACTCTTGTTGAAAGAATAGGGGACATAGATTGCTCTCACGTACACTTGAGACGAGAAACAAAACTACTTCACGCACGTATGCTTTTAGTGCTAGCTCTTTCGTTCTCTTTGACAAAATAGAGACAGCAATAATACAAGATTCACGACAGTTGAATTTTCTGTTGTTGTTTTAATGTTTCATCACCATCACCAGCTCACTATACGTCCCCACATGTGCAGGTTGCATCTCAATGTCTTTCTTCACTGTAAGAACGTCGGATTCGAACCTAGGACCTATATATTGCAAGTCAAGTGCTTAGCTCCTGAGCCACCGACGCTTACAATGTTTACATGATCAATATTATTAATGTGATGTATCTTCCATTCAGAACCATTCACACCATACAAGATATGGGTGAGGGCTTTCTACAAGTTCTCATTCAGCGGAGTCAGTTCATCAGATCTGTTGGAGCGGTTAGGTCCACAATCAGAGCCACTGTACGTACTGACAGATGTCAGGCCGCCGTCAGCACCTATCATATTAAATCTGACATGTGATCAACCTAATGGTGAGTTTTGTGTCACAAATAAAAAAAAAACACTTTGACTGTAGCCCAAAATGTATCTATGCATGTATCAAAATCTGTTTAATTGTTAAGATACAGGGTGTCCTTAAATTGACTGACATAAAATCATACATATGTGACATACTCTGGTAAAACATTACACTCTTGTCAGTCGTCGACACATTATTGAAATAACAATAGAACTTTTCTAACAATACTCAACAGGTATTCTTTATCTTCAATGGCGACAACCATTGGAGTACAATAACTCATTGGACCAGTACGTGGTGACGGTGCGGAAGGTACCAGAACAACAGCCGAGGACTACACTGAGGCTTCCTACCAACAAAACTGATATTGATACAGCTATTAATGTGGTATGTAAAACATGACAAATCTTCTCTTTATAGATTACTTTGTTCGTACGGAAAAAAATAAGCACCCATTTTTCCAAGCATTCTTACGATTGTTGTCTGTAGTCAAATATATGGGTAACAAAGACATTCTTTTATTTCATAAACTATTTGTACCCTGCGACTCCGTCTGCGCGGAGTTAAAAAATTCAAACAAATATCCATCCATTCATCTATCTAAACATTCACATTTATAATATTAGTAAGAAGTAAGATTGAGCTCCAATATATTTTGATTTCCACACTCTTGACACCTGTATATATTTTTTTTGTTACAGCCTGTAGAACTCTGGAACGTTTCGCGGTACGAGGTGAAGATATTCGCAGTCACCCTCTCTGTGGCTAAACCTGGAACACTCGTTAATGGATTAGAATCACCTCCAGAGGTAAATAAAAATTAATCTATACTTAATATTATAAAGCGGAACAGTTTGTTTAAACGCTCTTATCTCAGGAACTACTGGTCCGATTTGAAAAAATCTTTTTATGTTGAATAGTCCATTTATAGAGGAAGGCTTTCCCAAAGTGGGCGATACAGGTCACAAGTTGCGGGTTATAGTAAAAGTTTCGTTTAGAATTCCCCGTTAATATACATATATAGGTCACAATAATTAATTAATTTAATTTGAAGTTATAGTGGTTTTTAAAGATGTGAAAATATGGGGGCGCTAAAAAATATTTATTATTAAAGTGGGCAGTAGACAAAATAAGTTTGGGAACCACTGCTTTAGGCTATATAACATTACGTTGCGAATGATAGCTTTTTTTTTCCCGCGCGGACGGAGCCGCGGGCGACAGCTAGTAAATCATAAGTAGCTTATCGTCCTGTTGTCTCTTTCTGTTGATCGATGGACAATTTTTTTAACCAATCATACATTTTATAGAAGTTTTTTTCAAACGAGCGAGCGACCACCCGAAGTGACCGTTGCCCATAGACATACGCAATTGCATATGCGTTGCCTACCTTTAATCGACGGAGGAGAGGATGCACAGAAAGAAAAGATCTTCCCTTCCCATGCATCCTCTCATCCGGAAAGTCTACTTCCACTTCCCATCCTTTCCTTATGAGCAAAAGGGTGGGAGGGGAAAGAGGACTAAATTAGGCCTCCGGGACGCACACTCATCAGACGAAACGCGGAATTGCTTCCACTTGAGGCCTGTCTTCTGTATGGTCGTGGTATTTCACCGGGCGAGCCGGGACAATTCGTGCGAAGATGTTAAAGCGGGCTCTATCACTGTTATAGAAGTTCAAAAGGCATTTCCTCAAATAGTGTTTTGTAACATAGTTACTACTTTTTATTTTTTATCGTACGATAAATGATTAAAATTGATCAATTATAGATTATACAGGATGTATTAAAATTCTTAGTAATTTGTTTACTATTTGACCGTCATAATATATATTAAGAGGATATTGTAATAATATTATGTACTCAAAACAGTGATATGAATGTTCAAATAAATAAACAAGCTGAAATATTAATTTGTAACGCACCTCTTTCAGTAATTCTACTTATATACACAGTGAAGGATTAAAAATAAAGTAAATAAAAAAATATGTGATAGGTAAGTTTTTAAATCTAATACATTTTAGTCAAAGGATTTAATAGATTCAGTGCTACTAACTCGTAATTATATGGAACGTGTTTAATATAGGTGATTTATCAGTATAGTTGAGATGTGGGCGTGATTACTTTAAGCTCCTCCTATTTAACGCAAGGTATTTCGTGGTTGCTCTGTTCTTTGTCATCGTGGTTTTCAATTTTGATATTTATACAATCTTACTTCTTACTAATAATATAACTGTGAATGTTTGAATATAAGGTTGGATGGATGTTTGTTAAAAGGTATCTCTAGAAAGGATGTATGGATCCAGCAGAAATTTGACATAGTTGTAGGACATAGTCTGGAAGAAGACAAAGGCTACTATTATTTTTTAATTCCGCGCGGACGGAGTCATGGGCGATAGCTAGTACCTTTATAAAGTACAAATTAATAATTTCACAGGAGGTGTCTAGCGACTCTTGCGTGGCGTACTCGGCCGCACGTCAACCGAGCGAGATGACGCGTACGAGCCGCAGCGTGGGTACTGCGGCATTGCTGGCTGTCACACTGCTGGCTGTGCTCGCAGCTGTCGGTGCTGCTGTGCTGTACTGGAGGTGAGGATGTATTGGTATAGTAGTATTCAGATATCATGGCGACTTAACTTCGAGCGAGTAGCTGCGCAGAACACAATGTAAGGTGTGTTGGGACACTGCGTGTTGCGTGGATCATCTTGTGCCACTAAGATTAGTGAAAAGAACTATACGAAATGACTGCAAACTTGGTTGATTTTTGTTTTGGTCCTTATGAAGGCGGATATTTAAAGTCTTGTCTGTTTTAGATGTCGATCCCGTTTGAGTAAATGCATCAGCGCGGCGTACAATTATTTAGAAGAGGGAGGTGAGAGAGCGGCGCGGGCGCCACTGAATGTTTACAAGAAACCCGGTGAGTTTTCTTCCGACATAATGTTTAACAAGATAGTCTGAAAAATAGAAGAAAAAGGTTTAAAAATACAACTGTAGACCAACATTTTTAAAATATATTAGTTCTTTAAAAAACTAAGAGAAAAATCCGTTATTTATACTATGAAAACAAATTTAAAAGTCAATTTTTTAGTAGTATATATTATGTTTTAGGCAATATGTGCTTTATTACTATAACATAAGGTGTATATTCCGTAGCGCTGTGCTCTCCGCTGCGTGCGGGCGGTGGTGGGGGCGGGGGCAGCGTGTGCGGGGGCGGGGAGGAGGCGGAGGCGGCGCGGCCCCCCCGCATGGGCGGGGCCGCACGTCCCCCGCTGCGTGCGCGTGCCTTCGTGCGTCACGTCGCCGCACTGCACGCTGACGGAGACATCGGATTTAGGTTACTATTATAAAAATAATAGCTATACCCGCGACTTCGTCTGTGCAGGATTAAAATAATAAAAAAAACCTTAGTAGTCTATGTGTTCTTTGAGACTGTTCGTCGTTCTGGAGATACTCTCTAACAAACATTTATCAACTCAGAGTAGTTAAATAGCCACTCAGAGTCGCTTTATTCAGATTTAGTACTTTAATAACCACTAAATTTGTGGCAGTAGTTATTCGTATTAATTGTGTGACATTCCAGCAAGGAGTATGAAATAGTAGTAGCGAAGTCAGCAGCTCTCGGCCACACGAGTCATCACAGCTACCGTCCCGAGAACAGATTGAAAAATCGCTACCTGAATATTACAGCTTGTAAGTAATCTTATCGTTTTACTACAATTTGTCCCGAGCTCACAATACGGTCCCCACTGAGGGGCTCGGAACACCCTCTAAGTTAGGGAAGACTAGACCATAGTCCACCACGTTGGCCAGTGCGGGTTGGTTGACTTCACACATATCTTTGAATTTCTTCGCAGATATGTGCAGGTTGCATCACGATGTCTTCCTTCACCGTAAGAACCTCGGATAAATAAACATTTGTAAATCGGAAATCGAAAAATTTACTACAGTGTTATGGAGAAACTTTGTGTTTATGAATGAAAAGTGCCTTTATTATCAAGATATTAATTTAATTGTTTATTGTAGATGATCATTCGCGTGTGTGTGTGTCTGCGGGTGCGCGGTGCGGTGCGGCGGGATGCGTGGGCGCAGGTCGTGGTGCCGCCTGCGATTACGTCAATGCCAACTTCATAGACGGTATGCTGCCTGCACTGGACGCACGGGCTGAGAGACGACTCGAACGCAAACTGCAGCGACGTGCCAAACCACAGAGGTACGTATACGCATAAGTGCGAATTACGTACGCGTACGGAAGCTCCACGTACGACGTTACGTAAATAAGAAATATACATGTTACTAGCTGATATTGTCTACAGACTTATTTTGGACCGTTCCAGTGGTTCAAGTAGATAGAACGTCGATGGCTCAGGGGTTAAGTACTTGATTTGTAATCTGTTGGTTCTGGGTTGACTTTGGCCTAGTCACTGCGGGTAGGCTTCAAGTTCCTCAGTAGGGATGTATAGTAACCTGATGATGATGATGTGGATAAACACTAATTCTTTTCATTAGACAACCATCAGTGAAGCAATCCAAGCCGCCACCGAATTTGGCAGAGGGCATAGAGTCTGCCTTCCTCAACATAGAGTTCTCCGGCATCGTGGAGTCGGAAGAGCAGCCCGAGGACTCTGACAGCGACAGAAGTGATGATGACAGCGAGTTGGATGACGTTTATGTGGATATCAGTGAGTTTTTGATTCTTTATACGAAAAATGTGAAAAATTGTCGATGATAGTATTAACATGACCTAGACAATAGCTTCAAGTCCAGGATCTAGATGATTTAGCAACTTTTTAACAAACTAATAATAGATTTGCAGTGCTATTATGTGACTAATATGGAAAAAACTAGACACTAGTTCAATTCGCTAAAAGGAAGCCACAATCAAGCAATATTTGTTTTTTTTTTAACATTTTTATTATATTTCCCACTTTTTCTTGTCTTAAATATCTATAAATAAGACTTATCGCGACAACAGCGCCCTCTTATCAGGCCAGATAATTTATTTTATCATGGTTATAGATAATAGTTTCACAAAATGATTTACAGATGGCGTGGCACGTCGTGTGAAGCTGGAGTGGTTGGTGTGGCGGCGGCGGTACATCGCTACTCAGGGCCCCACCCCCGCCACGCTTGATGCCTTCTGGCGTATGATCTGGCAACACCGGGTGCATACTGTTGTTATGATCACTAATCTAGTGGAAAGAGGCAGGGTAAGAGACATTATCATATCTAGTTCTCAGGTACCTTAACCTTCTAGATGTTAAGGAGTAATTGTGATCTTTGTTAGTACCCATACAAGACGATAAATTGCCAATCGAGAGTTCGACAAACCTATTTTTTTAATTTAAAATATATTTTACATATGACTAATGATGTCAAATAACTTAAGCTATAGTCTTTCATTAGATATTAAAATTTTAAAGCAATAATAATATAATTATATTCATTAATATTCAAATAAATATATTCATAATCCAACAAATATCGACAGTTAATAAATTGGTAAGAAAGAACGCGTTACTTTATGAAAAACAAATTGCTAGTCTGTTTATAAAATTGACGAATTTCACAATTGAACGGTGACATGTGAAGATGTTCTAACCAGTTTGTTTTATGTTGCAGCGCAAATGTGACATGTACTGGCCGGCGGGAGGACGCGGCAGTAGCGCGGAGTTCGGTGGTGTGCGCGTCACCTTGTTACACGAGGACGTGCGCGCCGCGTACACAGTACGTAAGCTGCGCGTGCGTCTCATACACAAGGTAATATCTTCAAGTATCAAGAACAGGCTGTTTCACTATATTTTATGGCCACGGTCAGCTGTACCCTTAAGGGGTAAAGGAGAGGAACTAACGTCCATACGATCCTTGTATCCTACAATGTTCCGAGCACTATATTTGACAACCTTAATGCTTTTAATCATGTCTATATATAAATATAATAAAATTGCAGTGTCTGTATGTAATATAAAGGAATTATAATCAAATTTAAAACACATAGTATATATAAGTTGCTTATAGCGACGAAACCAATTTTTTAAATCTTTATCTGTTTACAAGGCGCGTTTGTTCCGGATTATCTCCGAATCGACTGTGCTCTGATTTAGTTGGGAAGCTGATGTATGCAGGACTTTTTTTTTAAATTTTTACTCTCTTGAAGACGACGGCGACCTCTAGTAAAGTACTAAAATATAATTGTAAAATTTCAGTGTGATGGCGTTGAAGATACTGCAGACAGTGGCCGTATCATTCTGCAGTATCACTACACAGTGTGGCCGGACCACGGTACTCCGCGACACCCTTTAGCCGTGTTACCCTTCGTTAAAGCCGCTTCTGCTGACCCCGGTACCGTGCTCGTACACTGCAGGTGAAAATTAACTTTATCTAAACTTTCGGCTAAATCTATAGTAATATAACAAACTAGCTGTCGCCCGCGACTCTGTCCGCGTGGATATATAAAAAAACTTAATTATTGTAGCCCATCCATCCATCCATCCACCCACATCACATCTATCTAAACATTTGCATTTATAATATTAGTAAGTTAAATAAAAAGCAGCTCTTCAAGGCATAAATTAGAAAAAAAAATAGTATCCTATGTCCATCTCCTGACTCTAAGCTACCTCCTCACCAATTTTTAGCCATATCGGTAAAGCCGTTCTTGAGTTTTAGATATGTAAATAGGAAAGATTTGATTGTTTGTTTGGTTGTATTGAATTGGCTCTAAAACTTGCTTCCGAAAATCCAAAAGTTTGAAAAATTCTTTCACTGTAGGAAAGCTACAGATATGATTTGCTTTTTTTATTCCACGCGGACAAATTCGCGGGCAACTGCTAGTTTAACAATATAATTAATGCCTCATTTTCATTTCAGTGCCGGCGTGGGTCGTACAGGCACTTACATAGTGTTAGACGCACAATTAAATCAACTAAAATTAACCGGTACTCTATCCCCTCTTGGTTTCCTCTGTCGCGCGCGCACGCAGAGAAACCATTTAGTACAAACTGAAGAACAATACGTATTCGTTCACGACGCGTTACTTGAACACGTAAGGTCTGGAAATACAGAAGTTGAATTCGCCAAAGCCAGAGAATACCTACAGAATCTTCTAGAAGATATCTCAGAAGAAGAATTAGCGGTCATGGATCTTAATCTAGCTAGACCGAAGAGTGTTAATGAAGTGAACGGTGAAACATCTAGTATCAAATCCAGTCAGAATGTTTCCGATAAAGATGAAATGGTGGATGGAAGTCAAATATCAATAAAGACTGATGAATTAAACAGTGAATTGAGTAAGTCTTCGGTAAGAGAAGATGAAGAACAGAGTACGGGATTGGTGAATGGAGATGAGTCGGAGGGAGTGTATGACTTAGCTCCTCGGTCTACGGACACCTATAGTAAGAATATGGCTGCTTATAATAATTTAAATGAACAAGAGAAGGAAGAGATGAGACGGTATGTCCATATTTGTTTATAATTAACCCTTAATTCAACGAAATTTTTTGTAGCAAAAAAACTGTGTTTTTTTTAGTAAAGTCATACTTATGTATTTTCTCTAGACTAGTTCAGTAGATTTTTTTAATTAGTTGTTCGTCACACTGGACACCATCGAATTAAGGGTTAATAGAAATTTAAAAATAAATTTATTCTTTGAAATAATATTTAATAAGGCGATTATATTATCTATATACTAATATTATTATGAGGATGGATTTAATTGTTTGCTTTGAATAAAATACGAAGCTACTTAACCGATTTTTTATATTATTTCACTCTTGGATAGCTAAACTATCGCCGGGTTACATAGGCTATATTTATTACTAGATTTTTTAATTCTCTGGCGACGAAAATGTAGGCAACTGCTATGTGGATTAAATAAACAATATATTTGGTTACAGGGCGAACAGAGCAGAAAACTACGCGTTATTAGAACGGATGCGTTCACTTGCCAATCGCAACAATGTGTACCAAGGTCCGCCGCCTGTTAACTTGTTAGAAAAACAATTCCAGGTATTTTTTTTATAAAATTGGTTTATAATAAAAAAAATGTTGCTCTAGTAACTTGAGGAATAGACTTTTTATATTACTTGTTTTCAGTTGATAACTCGATCGTGCGTGGAACCGAGCGTGTGCGCGCGCGCACCTCACAATGCAGACAAGAACCGACCTGGCGGCATCCTGCCTTCAGACTCTGCCAGGGTTATGCTCGTGCCCAAACCTGGGGTTGAAGGTGGGTTTCCTTGTTTCAAATAAACTCCAAAACTTTACTTGATAACTACGGATGACTTTTTTTTCTTGTAAGTATGTCTGTTCCAAAATGACTTTGGGCCTTATTTTCTTATGTGTTGTGAATGTTAAGTAGTACTCTTATTTCGAATATCAAAGTGGTGTAATCAATCTGCTTCAATTTAACTGTTGCGTTGTACATTTTCTGCAGGTAGTGAGTACGTGAACGCGTCCTGGGTATGCGGATGGCGACGGCTGCGTGAGTTCGCAGTGGCGCAGCACCCGGCCGGCGCACCCGAGCTGTGGCGCCTGCTGTGGGACCACACCGCACAGATTGTACTATTTCTGCACGATCCTGATGACCCGGTCAGTATACCATGATATCTACGTATACAAAATACATGATCGAAAAAAAAACTTCATGTTTCTATGTTCCAGGACTGCGATGTATTCTGGCCGACGGAGGAGGACAAGGAGCTGTTTGTAGCCAACTTCAGAGCGAGCTTCGTGTGCAAAGATGTGTACGTAGCGCACAGGAAGAGCGAACGCAAGCCGAAAGAGGCCGAACCCGAAGTGAATGGCTACAGACGACAGGAGAGCGAGTGCGCGGACGACGAGCGCCTCATACCTGACAATAACTCTCCAGTCATCGACACCGAACCAGCCTACAGGTTCGACAGGACCGAGCTGAGGCTGGAGAGGCTCAGCGCTGGCAGCAGGGACCTCTCAGCAAGAAAGTCAATAGCCAACGGCGACCTCTTCTCCTCCCTGTCCGAAAAGAAAAACGGGCCCAAATCTCCAAAGAGCCCATCGAAAATGTCCCTTAAAAACTTCAAACTCAGTTCCCCCACGAAGTTCAAATTCCCCGAGTGGGGGGCACGGACTGCGGGCTCCCCGCCCGACACCGCCCCGCCCCCGCCGCCAGTTGAGCCCGCGCTCTCCGTCGAGGAGGAGACGGAGCTCCGGAGACCATGTTATTACTTCGAGAAAGTCAACCAAGTGCCGGACAATGTGTCATCCGATAGGATTATCGAGGTTACAAATGTTAGTGTGCACTCGTTGCAAGACGATTACCAGCTAAGTGTTAAGTTTATAAAGTGTAGTGGGTGGCTGGAGGGGGAGACCACGGTGTACTCGGCGGGCAGGCCCGATGACAACGAGTACGTGCGCGCAGTGCGGACCAGCGCAGGCGCAGAGCGGGACCGTGCGCTTGATGCACTCATCGCGCCATACAAGGACTCCTTCGGCCTCATTGAGTTCGTCGCCGGCTGTCAGATGGAGTACAAGAATGGACCTGTTATTGTTGTTGATAAGTACGTATTCAATAATATTCGTACATATTTGTTTTATTTTTAAATATATTTAACTTTATAATTTTAGTCTGTATTTAAATGGCGCTGACGAAGTCACAGTCAATGGCAATTTTTTATGTTTTTATGAATTCTAAAATTAATCAATAATTGCAATATTTTTTAATTTAAAAATCATTGAGAAAAGCGACTGATATTATAAAATATAGTACCATTGTAACATTAATATGTTTTCAAAGGTACGGAGGTTGGAAGGCGCTAAGTTTCTGCGCTCTGAGCGCGGCGTGCGGCGGTGTGGGCGCGGAGGCGGCGGAGCTGTACTGCAGCTGGGCTCTGTCTGCACACGCGCGCTGCCCGGCCGGACCACAGTCTCCACAGTCCCCACACTCACAGTCACAGTCCCCAAGCTCTAGCATCTCTCAGGCAGCTCAGTCTCCCCACTCTCCCGCTGCGCTGCTCTCCACGTACTGCGCACTCGCTGCCTACGGGCCTATGCTTAGTGCACGAAAGAGCTGAACCGGGTAAATACTTCTTACTAATATTATAAATGCGAATGTTTAGATGGATGGATGTTTGAAGGTATCTCCAGAACGGCTGAACAGATCTTGATAAATTTTAGCATTCATATAGAACATGGTCTGGAAGAACACATAGACTACTAATTGTGTTTTTTTTAATTCCGCGCGGACGGTGTCGCGGGTGACAGCTAGTTTCACAGAAAACACTGCATAATATAATGCATTTCTAACGTAATATATAACCTAAATGGTGATTTTATAGAGTTAACTGTGATTCGTTTCCTATAGCAGATTTTTTTTCTTTTTAATATACTAATCCTAGCTTATTCCCCAGGTATTGCTGACCGCACCTGAGCTGGTAATGCACAATATAACTTGTACTCAGTGCGTTGTGGTTGCGCTGCTCGACTGTAATTAGACAAATTTAGCCATTTATTTTGTATACGGCAGCCATCTTTCATTTGACGCGTCAACCTCAAAACGGCGTGAAACTTTTGCTCGGATCTTTTGGAGGTTATTTAATTTAAGTATTGTGATTTATTAATTTTAAACACATTTTACATGTTTAGATTATGTGATTACGTTAAATAATTAATTTTATTAGTAAAATTTTATTTTCAAATAAACCATAGACAAACAAATAAGGAAAATCGATAACTTTTTTATTATTCAATTGAGTCCGAGCAAAAGTTTAACGTTAGTTAAACGCTCAAAATATTTTGAACAAAAAATATCGTATAGTAGAAATTATTATAAATAATTTGTTCGTGTAAGGCTTCTCTTATGAAATAAGACGTGGTTGTGTGCGATATGAAGAGGCGGCTAAGAACTTTCTAGCATTTTTTAATATAGCCAGCTTGTAGAAATATTTATATAATACGATTTAACAAATTATTTGCCAAAGAACACTTTGTTAGATGTATTAAAAATACTCTGCATTTTCGTGATTTTTTAAATTAAATGACTACATAACGTAACACAAATTATTTATTATAAATAAAAATGTTTAAAATATGATGAAATGTGTTTATTTTCTAGGAAATAATACGTTTAACAAAGTGTTCAATGCATTTAAATATTTTATGTGACTGCGAGTGGTTGAAATATCAACTAAAACAATATTTTTTTCAATATGTATAGTCAGGGCATTTCGCGGTGTTCCTGTTCCTTGCGACAGTACAAACTCCGCCACATCTTACAAAATCTACAACCGACGACATTGTAAAAAGTATTTTGTCGTGTTTTCATTAACCGATTTTTTCTTTACAGACAAATTTAAATGCTATGTCCTATTGGTAATTGTTGCCTTATTGTCATCTCAGTGATTACGAAACGTTCAAACGAATGTCGATTTTTAAATGAAATACCGCCAGATTCCCTGATAGTACATATGTTTTAGTATGCGATGTGTACTATATCAATGCAATATAAAACATATTTAATCTTGACATAGGTAAATAATAAATTCTTTTGCTTTTTATAAAAGTTTAGTTATGACATATTTTGATGTGTGACTGTTCTTATATGTAGCCTAAACAACACCTATTTTGACGAGTGGAAATCAGTCAGAGTTTTTAATAATTTTAAGCTATTGTTTATCTTAGTATCTTATTAGTATTATAAATGCGAATATTAAGATGGATGGATGTTTGTTTGGAGATATCTCCAGAACGACTCAACGGATCTTGATGAAATTTGGCATGGGTGTACAGCATAATCTGGAAGAATAAAGGCTACTAATGAAGTTTTTTTTTTAATTCCGTACGAACGGAGTCGAAGGTGGCAGCTAGTTTTATAAATACAAATTTTTACCACTCGCGGTCACTTGGCTGTCAACTCGGGGAATCCCCAAAACCTAGATCCATTAGCATTTAAAGTTAGTTAGTTTCAGTGCAATAGTTCAATTTTATAAGCCTTCAACGATTAAGAGATTATAAATATATATTTTAGTATTTTTTTTCTTAGCTATTCTTCTGTCAGTATGGGATGTTATTGATAGTATTTTCTCGTAATCAAAATATACAGATTTTGTATAATGTAAACTTATATAAAAAGGCTAAAACATTCATGTATATTCGTCTGGTGTCGGCACCGACTAGATGATTCTCAAGTCGCACGCAGTGAGCTGGGGGCCGCGTCCGCGAAATACCAGTCCCACTCACCCTAATGGGCTGGAAACTAGTCGGTGCCGACACCGGACCAATATGCGTGACTGTTTTAGTCGTTTTCTATATAAGTTTATGATAATTTCTCACGAATGTTTGAATGAAATGTGTATAATGTATGTGTAATTCCTATTAAATCAAGTTTATGGTCCAGTATTTTATCATAATCTAGTTTAATGTTGGTATATTTGTGAAGACTGCTTTTTAGTGGTTTGTCAATTATGACTTTACGTTGATCAAAATGAGCAAGTCCGTTTTTAACATACTGTGATTGTTGTTTAAATAAGGGTTACCATCAATGCATGTTATCCTCGTATTTAATTTAAAATATCCGATTTATCTAAATATTTAGGTGACATAGGAACAGTTTTATGACAAATTATTTTGGTATTACGAAGATTTACTGTGGGTTTCTGAGACCAAAAACTCTGAATAAAACAGAAAAAAAATGTTTTAAATGGGATTTTTGACTCAGAAACTCACGGTAACTAAGTGTTTTGTTTAATTTTTATGAGTTATTGTTGGTTTGTGAAAAAACTTGCCCTTTGATCAACAAATACTCGCTGAAATCGTAAAAATCCAAAGAATCGTGATTCGATAAATACGATTTAATGAAATATTTACTCATTCCAGATTTATTCGTGTTCGAAATATAATATTAAAGTTAATAATTACAAGTCGCAATTCATCAAAATGCCAAAGTATAGAATGAATTGTCCTATTTTGGCAGTTTTATTAAAAGTATCAAATTTGTTGAATTCACGTATCTATAGTGCGTCACTGAGATTTATGTCTGTGACATGTTTTTTTTTCTCTTTTCCTCGTGAGTCGCTTCCAATGTTAGAAAGAGATGAATTGTTTGATCTTGAGGATATTTCACGTCCTTCTTACTGAATATGGAACATTTAATTCCGATTTATACGTACTATAATTGGAGCTCTTCAATAGGTTACATTTGACATTTTCTCAAAATCCAACAACGTAACAGCGCGCGTGAAATATTTTTTTAAATTTCGATATTATTGAACGTCGTTACAATTTTTCGACAGTGCATACTTTTTCCTCACTAAGGATGTTACAAGAAGTCAAACTAAAAGATTGATTTTCCATAATATGTAAATTCGATTCGCTTTAATCGATGTTTTGCAGCTAACTTACTGTAAAGCTAAAAAGTGATAGACGTCTAATGTGACCTATTAGCCCAAACATAGTTTATATAAGAATAACGGTGGGTTTCCACTGTAGTGACACTTGATTTGGTTGAGATATGTGTCCATACAAATGTTGTTTGCAGTCGGAACCCATAGTAAAATTTGTCGTAAATATGTGATACGACATTGTATCAATGTTTAAATATATAGAGCGGGTCATGTTTGCGCTGTCAAGCTCTCTTATGTGCCATTTTAGGCTAAATATATCGTTTTAGGTAATTTAAAATCTATATTCCACGATTTAGTATAGATTTAATTTCCTTTCCTATTCCGTTATTTGTCGATTAATCTATGTTTCATTTCAGTTTGACCTGGCAAGGGTTTACCGTTTTGTCGTTTATTAAAAAAAATCCTTTTTTTAGACGTTTTTATACTGTAAAGTGGATTTGTGTCGGCACATTTTAGATTGTATTACGTTCTATGTTCTATATCATCATCAGCTCACTATACGTCCCCACCGAGGGGCTCGGAGCCTACCCTAAATCAAGGGTTTCTATATATTGAATCTATATTTTATTTAGATTATGAAGTTTTTATTTATATGTAATTTGAAAGCACAAATTTTTTAATCGATATGTTATTTAACAAATTTAAATTTAATCCTAACATAAAAGTCTGAACCCACGTTTTCCTACATTTGCTCCATATATTGTAGTGAATTGTGATTTTAATCACATATAAATAATCAGCTGCGTCTATTGTATATTATTTTTAAGAATATATGTTGAAGTACTATTCGTGTGCAAAAACACGTTACCTAAGTTCGATGACGTCATAGGGTAACTTAACTCACTCAAAATATTAATTATTCTGTTTTTAATTCAATTAATAATACTAATTTATATTTATTTACTGTTTGGATTTTCAAATCCCTCAACCCATTAGTGCATAACGTTCAATAAATCGGACGCCAATAAAATTGTTACTTTAGGAGTTATATATATTTTACTAACCGTTTATTTTTTTAAACAGTAGTTTAATATATATTTGAAGTGGTAATACTGTTGGTATGACATTCCGGGAAGCATAACGTCCGTTTTATCGGAAGGGCTATAAAATCTGAACTTTCATATCGATTAAATATTTTATACAATTTAATGGTCAAATACACTCGAAATGAAAATATATTACAGTGATCATAATGAAAAAGGCGTTAATAAACTTTATGCACTAATGGGTTAATAAGTTTCTGTATACGAAAGTTAACCGCCTAAAACATTCCTCATAAAATTATCCCACCAAAATATATTCCATATGACACCACTTTACTAAATACATTTGAAATTTCCTTTTTAATGTTTTATTTTGTTGAAAACATGTTTTATGACATGTTTCTGATAAAATATACGTTTGAAGGAATTACTAGGACTACGTTTTTCTTATATTTATAATTGATAAACACCAATTTTGTATTTCTTTATTTCAATTTTTACAATTTTTAACTTGTTTATATTTAATTTTATTTACATTTACGTGTTTATTTTTTAAGTATATGTATTTTATATTTGTGATTATACACCGTAATGTAAGAGTACCGAAAATTTCTTATTTACTTGTTATTTTATTAATTTTTGATCACCCAATGTAGACTTAAAACGAACTGTTCTACTAAGTAATAAACATCGCTCAGTGTCACTTTAGTCTGGAGTTATATTCTACAATAGTACATGCCTTACTGTGGGTTTCTTAGACCAAAATACCCATTTAAAATATATTGTTTTATTCAGGAATTTTTGTCTCAGAAACCAACGGTCAGTGATGTTTACAAGTTGACGCAGCTGGAGATTTCTAACGGATAGGATGTGAAATAGTCCAAAGAAAGTAACGGGGGTATAATACGAAAATTTGAGAGAATTCGTAACGACATCGATAAAATTTGTATGACTTTACGTCAACTACAACGCTGTACAAATTTTATCGATGACTATGAATATTTTCTCGCAAATTTTCGTGATAGGCCTTAAGAATTCACACAGAAAACTTCTCGATATTTATAAAAAACAATTGTTAGTAATTCTAAAAGTTTCATACTAATCACTAAGTCCTTGTATGTTTGTATCTGTACAGATTGTTTATTGGACGTAGATTTGTAATATTGTAAACGATTTTGTACCCTTAAATACACTAATGTAATTCGTACCCTATTTATTTTTTATGTAACCGCCTGTATTATTTGAAATGTAAAATATATAATAAGCAATTGTACATATTGTTTTATTTATAAACACCTTATATACTAGTAACTATAAGCTAATTTTGTTAAGGATTTTAAACATATAGAAGATTTAACGGAAATTAATCAAAAGTAATTATCAAATAATACAACGCTTAACCGATAACGCGTACGTGAGATTAGCAACAACCCATTTATCTATATAGGTAAGTTAGGTAATACATACAGCGTGTTCTATAAATCTTGGTTAGTGCTAAGGTGACCTAAGACCTTCCCAACATTTTTATTAATACATATTGTCATCTACAAAATTCTTTAACACGACACTGGCGAAAAAATGACAAATTTACGAAGGTTACCTAGTTATATTTTGCGGGTTTTATTGTGTTCATTTTGAAAAATACACATATTAAAAATAATTAATAGTTATTCTAGATTCCTTTCGGCATTTGCTGATTCTATATTTTATAACGATGTGTGATTTTTATTAAAAAAAACCCCATCCTATAACGTTTTCTACTTGTTATCGTTTATGAAGCAACGCAAAGTTAAATGAATGTCTTAGTTTCGTCCGAATTTAAAAGAGGACGCTAATGAAACAGTTTTGTTTAATAAAAATCACAAGCAAACGAATCTAGTTGTCATGGTAAAAAATATTTAATCTTACTTCTTACTAATATTATAAATGCGAATGTTTCGATGGATGGATGTTTGTTTAAAGGTATCTCCAGAATGACTCAACGGTTCTTGACCTATATTCTATATGTATGCCAGATGGAATCTGGCATACATATTACGTAATTTTAACGTTATTTTTAAACCGTTTACATTACGTTACTAATTACGTTTTTTTTAAAACCGCACGGGCGACCGCTACTTTTAAAACACCCTGTACGCAGACGTCGGGTGATCTTATGATATCAATGCAAGACAAGTGCTAAATATATAAAGTCTGTCAGGTGTATTGTCACCACCTGTAGACCAGTGCACAGAAAACATGGCTTACAAGGCAATTTATCTTGCACTTGCTCTCGTCTGTGCTGGTAAGTATAAGTTATGTACAAAACAATAATAAATCTATAGTAATATTATACAGAGGAAAGATTTAATAGCATTGAATAGGCTTTGAAATTGAATTGATTTGAAAACTTCTTACACTGTTGCGAAGTTACACTATCCCTGGGTGACATATGCTAGGCATATACTAGATTTTAATTTAGTCGAAGTCACGTAATTTACTATATTAGACTCACCGTAATGTTACAGCTTCGGCAGCGCCTGAGAGCAGACTGGTTGGTGGAACTCCGACCACGATCGAAGAGTTCCCATACATAGTGGCATTGACTTACCACTACCCTGGCGCTGGCATCACCGTGCAGCGTTGTGTCGGTGGTCTTATCTCCTCTTGGCATGTGCTGACTACTGCCTTCTGCTTCACGTAAGTACATAGTTCTTATTTAACTTCGTAGTTAAGTTATAAAGACGTTTGTTTTTTGTTTAGTAAATATACAAGTGCTTAGCAACTATACCAACTTTTGTTATTTATCAAAAGATAATACACCCTGTATTAAACCCTGTTAGTAAACGCTTCGTATTTGATTGAGAATAATGACATTAACTTCCTCCAATCTTACGGTGTTTTTCTGAAATTTCTTGCAGTGGTGCCAATCTTGGCAACTTCGAAGTGCGTGCTGGATCCACCAACAGCCTGTCTGGTGGAGTTGTGACTACCATCCGTGAGGTCATCAAGCACCCCGACTACCAAGAGAGTCCGCTCGCTAACGACGTGGCTGTTGTCTTGCTGCAGACTCCGTTCGCCATCACCAATAACATCGACATCCTGTTCCTTCCCCCCGCGAACACCTTTATCCCTGATGGACAGTCTGTCAAAGTTGTCAGCTGGGGCTTCGAAACTGTAGGTTTACTTAGTCTTTTCCTTGATTTAATACAGCATAATATTTAAGCTAAATTCATGAATAACTCCTGTCTCCCTTCCCACCCTTTTTCTTATAAGGAAAGGATGGGAAGTGGAAGTGGACTTTCCGGATGAGAGGATACATGGGAAGGGAAAATATTTTTTTCTATGCTTATTCTGCTCCGTCGATTAAAGGAAGGCAACGCATATGCAATTGCGTGTCTATGGGCAACGGTCACCTCGCTATTTCAGCGATTTCAGGTGGCCGCTCACTCGTTTGCCACCTTTTGATATATAAACAAATATACCATTGTTGTTCTCAGTGAAAAAACACACCATAGACAATTCGTTATCTAGATTAATTTCATTTGAAAGAAGCTACTCCTAAATTAACACCTACAGAATAGAATATTCACCGTGGGTTTCTTAGTCCACAATCCATGTAAAACATATTATCTCTGTGTTGTCAAATGTAAAGTCTGGGATGATATGTTTTATACAGAGATTTAGTTTTCAGAAACCCACGGTCAGTAAAAGTACCCATGAAACTATAGTTACAAATGTTTTACAGATGACCGGACCTCAACTGCAAACACTTAAGAAGGTGTACCTTAAGAAAGTATCTTTGGAGCAGTGCGCTGCTGGCTTCGAGAACGTGGGCAATGTGGCCGTCAGCGACTGTCAGTATTTCACTTAATACCTCCTCCTTTAGTATTCCAATATCTGAGAATCATGACTACCTTGATCATCTTATTCTAATAATTATTTTTACCACTCTATGATAATAGTAAAAAAAAATGATTGAATTAGTCAATTTTAAGTTTTGGCAACCCTAGTTACTGAGTACTTATTTATGATAGGACTAGTCGTGCCCGCGACTCCGTCTGCGCGGTATAAAAAATATTATGTGTTCTTCCAGACTATGTTCTACATCTATTCCAAATTTCATCGAGGTACATATGGCCGTTTTGGAGATACCTTCAAACATCCATCCATCCAAACATTCGCATTTATAATATTAGTAAGATTTTGTTCTACTGACAAGAGCGTTAGTGTAAACATAAGTATGTATGTCTGTCTTTCGTGATCTGAAGTTTAAGTAATTTAACTAAACTCTTTCCGGAATACCAAAGAGAAAATGATAGTCAAATTTGTTACTTTATAAAGTTAATCTTAATTATATCATAAATAAGAATGTTTGGATGTATGGACGTATGTTTGTTTAACCCTTAATTCGACGAAATTTTTTGTACCAAAAACTGTTTTTTTTTAGTAAAGTCATACTTACGTAATTTTCTCTAAACTAGTTCAGTAGATTTTTTTAATTAGTTGTTCGTCACACTGGACACCATTGAATTAAGGGTTAAAGGTATCTCCGAAACGACTGTATGGATTACGCTGAAATTTGACTAACACATAGACTAAGTTTTTTTAATACGCGTGGATGGAGTCGCGGACAGATAATAAACAAAAGTTAATACCGTATAAAATTTCAGCTGTGATTTGCGCATCCGAGGAAGGTGCGGTGGGAACTTGTCGCGGTGACTCCGGTGCTCCAATGGTCGTGGGCCAGGTGGTCGTTGGCATTTCTACCTACTTCCATGAGTGCGGAGATGATCTTCCCGACGTCTTCACAAGAACTGATCGCTTCACGAACTGGATCGTGGATGTGGCAAAAGCACCTAACGACGATGACGTCACTCCCGTCAGAGTTAAATCTGTCAATTACTAAAGAACTGATATTTAAGTCTACCCTTTGATAAGGTTAAAAATTAAATTTATTACAAATATTATGAGTTTTTCTTTCAATCAACTAATCTCATAATCTGAAATAGGTTTAAATAATTCATGTAATGTAACATTAGATTTGTGGCCATCATATTGTGCCGGTCATTGTGGCGATCTTTAGGGAAGGCCTATGCCCAGCAGTGGGCAACTTATGGCTGAGAAAGAAAAAGAAGAACATTAGATTGGTACACTTATATCGAAAATATTACATTAGTTTCTTTTATAATTATTATACAATATTGTTTACACAAGACAAAGGAAAATATGGAGAACTGATCGCCAACCTTCGCTAGTCGGAGAGGCACCTCAAGAAGAAGAAGATTGTTTACATACACAAAATTTAATAAAGATAATCATAAAAATAGATAAATATTAAATAAAATAAAAATCACATTTATTGTAATGAGATGTGAATACTTTTTGGTTAACTTTTTTTTCTCATAAACGTAATAAAAGGCAGTTTTGTAATGAAAATATATTTAAAGTTCTAACCTGTTATAAACCGACTTATATTATATTGCTAACAAGCTATTTAAAATAAACTTATAACAGTAAAGTGACAGTCATTTTATTTTTCTATACAAATGTTAGGTAAGACAGAGAAGGCAATAACCCTGTAGTTATGAGTGAAAGAGACAAAACATTTCATGAGTAAGTTTTGGTTTACTAACAAAATTACTGTTGGTATAACAATATTCAAACTTTATAGCAACATTCCTAAGGTTCATCTTGACTGGGGGCATCACTATGCCCCCAAGTTTAAGGAATAATTCATCAAACTGTTGTAAATCTTACTAATATTATAAATGCGAATGTTTAGATGGATGAATGTTTGTTGGAAGATATCTCAAGAACGGCTGATCTTGATGAAATTTGGCATGCATATAGAACATAGTCTGGAGGAACACACAGGCTACTAATTGATTTTTTAATACTGCGCGGATAGAATCGCGGGCGACAACTAGTTTTAAATAAAAGAGATTCGTGACGTAATCCGACCAACTCTGTTTTTTTTGTCCTTTTTTCTTAATTTAACCACAGAAGAAATAAATTGAATATAAAAAATACAGGATACGGTAACAAATTGCATTGTTTTTTATCAATTCCATTTCATTGTTTATTAAATGAAACTAAATACATCAAAATTCATCTTTGGATGGAATGTTGTTTTATCTCTCTAATTACAAACGTTGGAAAAGGCAAGACGATATTTAAGATCTAAAGGCACTAGTTTATTGCGTTCTTAACACTAAAAAAATGGCGCGCGATAGAAATTACAATATAGTCACAGATAAAAAATATATTACGAAATTATTACGTGGGTACGTTGGTTTGTGAGACCAAAACCTCCGTTTAAAACATATCGTTATTTCCATTTTGTCAAAGATTATGACAAGGATGACGATATGTTCAAAAGGAAGATTTAGGTCTCTGAAACCAACGGTACGTGAATTATTGTTTGTCAAATTTCCACCTATTTGTAGTCTTAATAAAATAGTTATAGTTATAGTCATAGTTAATGAAATTATAAGAAAAAATAATTTTAAAAAATATAAATTTGGTAAAGAAAAATAAAATATTTACGATGCTATTTAAAAATAACATAGTAAGTTATAATTTTGGAATACTAATGTAGTTAAAATGACATCGCGCGCCATCTATATTCAACCGAGGTATACTTAAATCTAACATTATTAAATAAACTTATTTATTATCATACATTTCTTCACTCGGTGGTCCGCGTATTATTTTGTAGTGGTTGATTATATATAATAGTATATAATATACATAAATAAATGAAACATTAAATATACCAAAAGGTAAGTCATCAATCTTCAAGTTTCTAATATACAAAATTATTGTTATACAGTCCTAACTGTATCCG